GAGAAACCAGGGAGAAGAGAGAGGAAGGCGAGGGAGACGAGAGAAGGAGAAACCAGGGAGACCGAGGGAGGAGAGAGAGAGAGGAGGCGAGGGAGAAGAGAGAGGAGGCGAGGGAGACGAGAGAAGGAGAAACCAGGGAGAGAGGAGGGGGGCGAGGGAGAGGGAAGAGAGGAACGGAAGACGAGAAAAGGGGGAAAGGGGAAGAGGACACGAGAGAGAGGGGAGAGAGGAAGGGGAGAGGAGGGTGAGAGAGAGGGGAGCCGAATAGAGACAAGAGAGAGGAAGGGGAACCGAGGGAAAGGGAAGAGGCGAAGGAGACGAGGTAGAGGGGAGACACGAAGGAGGTGAAAGAGGAAGGGGAGACCAGGGAGAGGAGAGAGAGGAACGGAAGACGAGGGAGAGGGGAGAGAGGAAGGAGATACGAGAGAGAGGAGGGAGAGGATGAGGAGACAAGGGATAGCGGAGAGAAGAAGGCGAGACGAGTTAGAGGAGAGGAAAGCAGAGAGGGGAAAGGATAAAGGTAGACAAGCAGGTTGGAATATGAGAAGAAGAGGAGGCAAAGGGGTTTAGGGAGGAAGACCGAAGAAAGAAGGGAGAGGGAGAGAAAAAGAAAGGAAGGAGGAAATGGGAGATTAGAAAGGGGAGAGAGGGAAAAGGAAGAGGAGAACAGAGAGGGCAAAAGAAAACTAAAAGGAAAGGCAACAGAGGAGAGAATAAAGCAAAAAAGAGAAAGGAGGAGAGAGACAAGCAAGAGGAGGGGCGATTGGGGAGGGGAGGGAGGGGCACGTCGCAAGCACAATGGAGCCAGGAGGGATGGCAGTGGGCGTGAGCAGGAAAAGGGACAGGGTTCAAAAGTGTGATTTAGTGTGCGAGGGTGAGGCGGCGTGGGCGGTTGCAGCAGAGGGAAGGCAGGTGGGCGGGCGCTGAGAAGAAGTTGGTCGGGGCGTGGCGAATGAAGGGCGAAAGAGAGGCGAGGCGAAAGGGGGAGAGAAAAGTTAGGCCGAGATAGAAAGGGAAAAGAAAGTTTGCGATGAAGTTTTTAAAAAAAAAAAAAAAAAAAAAATTGAAAAAGGCGTGGGTTGTAGAAGCCCTGTAAACGAAAAAAAAAAATATAACGATGATAAAAAAGGAGAACGAAGCTACGTTGGTCCACAGTCCGAAAGGTCCCATTGGCTGAGGGGGGACTTCCAATCTGGCCAATCAGAACGCGCCCGGGGGAGAAAGCCGCGTTCCGATTGGCCGGCCGGCACGGTGATTTGTCAGACCGGCGAGGCTAATAAGAGATCTAATGCATCAACCTCGTTGTTTGGGAATTCGGTCCCGACTAATGACTTTGGCGGTTAAAGACTCATTATGGGAGGAGTTCTCGGAGGCCATGTTTGCGGGGCTTGTCTCGGCGGCAGCGCGATGATCGGGGATGCTATTGCTTTGATCGTCTGTGGGATGACCTGGAGGCTTTTTTTATTATTATTATTATTCCGCGAAGGCTAATCCCTTGATCATGTGTAAGACGACTGGAAGTTGGTTTTATTCGGGCAATTAGAAGTCCATGAAGCCCGAGGGCGCGCGCCTTCGAACGGCATGAATTTCATAGCGAATGTTGGATCATCTCCGTTCCAGCGAGGAGACAAGATGGCTCTCAGCGAACTCGTCCGCTCTTTGGCAGCTCTTGCGTTCAGCATGAGCACCCTGCTCCCCCCCCCCCTCCCACCCCACGTGGAATCTGCTGGGCGGTGGTCTTCAACGCGGGCGTGGGCGCTGGGCTCTTTCGAGGAGGCGCTGGAGTGGCCAAGGACCTAAGGGGCAGTTCGAGCTTCCTGATGAGGGTGAGGAGCTTCCTCAATTACCCGTCATTCTCATTTCCAAATAATTGTATTAATGTTTGCGGAAAGAAATCAGAACTGGCCAGTTATTTCTCCGCCAACACTTTCTTCCATGGGCGGTCGTAAGTGGCAAGTGGTGTGCCATGAACTCTCCGGTGACGAGTGTATTCACTTATCACGAAGAGACTCACTGGCATACAGACGCTTGCTCTTTTAACAAGTAAACGTTCGCCTCAATAAACTTGTCAAGATCAAAAGCAAGCCCGGTTCTCCATCAGTCTCGTCTGCACTGCCTGGTGGCGAGTAGCGCTCCTTCTTTCACACGCTACTTTTACCCAATTTCGTCCGTCATCCAGTGAGGTTCTGTGATTCTCAAAATTCAGTACATGCTTGTGTATATGACGAAAAAAAAAATCATGGCATTTTTGTTCATGAATTGTTGTTATTGTTTATTCTTCTCTCTCCTGCTTCTCTCTCTACTCTNTTTGCCATATTCCTTTGTTTTTGAGCATTTTCTTAGGAATCCTCAAGTACACTAAGATAAAAAAAAAAAAAAAAAAAAAAAAAAAAAACATTTCTAATCAATTTTTCGAAATCTGACTTTTTTACTAATTCTAACTAGTGTCTTTTCATCAGTGTGGTTTGGTGGGAATTATACTTAATATACCAATTATGAT